GGGTCGGTCATTCCGCAGTACCCAGCAGAGCCCTCGGAAGCAGGGGGGGATTCCACCTTCCCGAGTTTTCGCTGGCACCTGAAACGGTGCCGGAGTCAAGCAGGGCAAACGACGCCATCACTACATGGAAATGCAATGGGAAAACAGGCTGGAAGGCAGTTCCTGGTGGGAATTCCCGGGAATTTCAGGCCGGGGGCACTGTCGCGTGTCCTTACCTAGCATTTCTGCTAACGATCCTGACACCGGAGAGGAAGGTGCTAACGACACGGAGCCAGGAGGCATCTGCAGCCAGAGAGCAGCCGGATCCCCCAATAGCGCCGAGCGACCTGAAGGATGGGAATAACAAAGGGAATAGGGATTTCAAGGTCGTGAGCACGCAGGGACTTGTAAACAAGCACTCGAGCCGCCAGCCGGGAGCTCCTCGGTGCAAAGCGGCCGAGGAGGAGGAGGATGGGAGCACACAGGGGCTGCAAAAGTGCCAAAGACAGATGTTCCGCTCCCTTTCGCACCAAAAATTACTCCGCAAAATGTGGCAAACAAATGGATTTTGAAGGTGGGTCAAGTAATTATTGCAATAATTACAAGAGTATAAACTGCTGTACCAAGAAGAAAGGAGCTAAATGTTTATGACCAAGGGTCCCTGCTTCTAAATACACTGCTGCATTTCTCTTCCTGCAGGGCTCTTTGCTCTTTCTGCCTATTTAGCTGATAAGTATAGAATTAAAGCAGAAACAGAATCGTGTATCTGCCGTCATGAAAAGCAAGCCATGAAGTGAGAGGGTAAACGGGAATGATGGCTTCACCCCCGCAATAGGGCAGCTAGAGGAAGGAGATGGGGGGAAAAATGACCAATTCGAGCAGACTCCAAAGGGCAGCAAAGGAGGATGCTCAGCAGGACTCGGGGGAGGCACTGGCAGCAAAAACCAGGAAAGCAGAAGGAAAACATTAAAATACATATATATATATAAATTTAAAAGGTCAATGCTGAGATAGCTGCTCACACCATATCCCTTTGGTTTGCCCAAACCATTGGATTAACAGTGAGTCTTGGCAGCGGTGACCAACAAGAGGCCCCTCAGGAGAGGGGGAGGCAGCTCCGGAGAGAGGCAGAGGAGCCTTGGAGAAGGGGAGGACAGTGACAGACAGGGACCCTCTGCGGCAAGGAGGAAAGTTGTTCCAAAAGGAGCGCACGGAACCAGGCCCTGCGGTGACACGTGCGCACGGCGTTACTTAATGCCGAGTTGCAGGAGCAAGAGGAGCAAGAAAAAAGCTAGAAATTAAAAGGAATAAAGGTTTGTTGGGAGACCCCAGCATTCTCCACACATGCCCTATTCCTCCCACAAGCTGTGGATGCCCTGGGAAGGTGAGTGTCCAGTGGGAAGGACGCAGGATGCCTTTTAAATTTAAGTTCGCCCCATGTGCTGGGGAGCTCCGTTTTCCTTGCAAGCTGCAAGCTGTGGATTCCTCCCCCTGCCCATCCATGCAGTGCCCAAACACTCTCCATGCGCTCTGCTTGGGAGAAGGGGAAATAAAGGCAAGGCAGAAACATTCCGAGTTCAACTCGTTCTTCAGCTGGCTGAAAAGAAACCGTCATGCGGCACCACAGGCTGCCAGGGACCTTTAGGGGCTAAACCCGGGGCCTGACATCCCTTGGCGCTGCAAGGAGACCCCCGTGTTGGACGTGTTGCCCGTGGGCGCTGCTCCTCGAACAGCCTCTCCTTCGTCCCGCACTGGTGACACCGTCGCTCCAGAGGGCTCGGCCGCCTCCACAGAGCCCGGGCCCGAGGGGAGGGTAAGGGGATGGAGGGGGCGCCATGTTGGGGGCCGGCCCGTTAAGGGGCGCCGCGTCGCGAGGCGCGCGGGGAGTCGCCGCGG